CTCCGTGTGTTTGTGTGTCGAGTGTGTCTGATGTGTGTGAGTGTGTATGTGCGTGTGTGTCTGTGTCAGTATCTCTGTGTCTCCGTGTGTGTGTGTGTCGAGTGTGTCTGATGTGTGTGAGTGTGTATGTGCGTGTGTGTCTGTGTCAGTGTCTATGTGTGTGTGTGTGTGTGTGTGTCGAGTGTGTCTGATGTGTGTGAGTGTGTATGTGCGTGTGTGTCTGTGTCAGTGTCTATGTGTGTGCCTGTACTCACTGCCCCCTAGAGGAATGGATCAGCAGCGTAATGAGCGTGGATGTAGCCGGACACACACAGTTGAGAGCCAGCATGGCATATTTGAACTCCTCCTCGCAAACCACATGATCTATGACCAAATAACAATCACATGTTAATCAAAAGACACAAACAAGCCTTGTACCATCCATGAACATAGCATGCACATGGGCCAGCTATACATAAATAATATAAAAGTCCACACACAGACATCCGTCATATGAAAACATATAAAAGACCAGAGCAGCACCGGTACTGATCTCCGTTTTCAGGGGTACCAGGCTGATGGAGAGCCAGACTAAAGGCAGCACTGACCTCTCTTTGCAGGGAGACCAGGCTGATGGAGGGCCAGACAAAAGGCAGCACAAGCACCGACCTTCCTCCGCAAGGGGACCAGGCTGACTGGAGGACCAGAGTAAAAGCAGCACTGACCTCCCTTTGCAGGGGGACCAGGCTAATGGAAGCACTGACACTGACCTCCCTCCGCAAGGGGACCAGGCTGACTGGAGGACCAGAGTAAAAGCAGCACTGACCTCCCTTTACAGGGGGACTAGGCTGATGAAGGGCCAGACTGAAGGCAGCACTGACCTTCCTCTGCAAGGGGACCAGGCTCACTGGAGGGACAGACTAAAGGCAGCACTAGCACTGACCTTCCTCTGCAAGGGGACCAGGCTCACTGGAGGGACAGACTAAAGGCAGCACTGGTACTGACCTTCCTCTGCAAGGGGACCAGGCTCACTGGAGGGACAGACTAAAGGCAGCACTGGTACTGACCTTCCTCTGCAA